TATATATATATATATATAGTGTGTAACCCAAGACACAGCTGAAACCAGCAACGCATCTGAAAATCATGGAAATGCACTACAGGAATCCAGAAGAAATACCAGGTAATCACAGAGTGTTGAAAAAGGGGCAAAGGTCAGAAAGCCTAAAGAGGACCAAACCCTTAAGTTTAATAACATTTATTCTTTATTATGTTTTTTATTAAGTTTATGCTGTTACAGTATTGTAATATTTTTAATTTAAACCTCACAAACTAACCCATACTATAAAAAAAAGAAAAGAAATCATGTAAAACAGCTACATGCAGGTGTTTCAGTTGACAAAATTACAAATGTTTTTTTAAAATTTACTTTTGTGAATCTAGTTTTAGGTTTTAGTTTATTTTAGTTAGCATAATAATCTTCATTTGTGGTTAAAAAGAAAAACGCAAATTTTAAAAAGCAGTCACTGCAGGCAATATTACAAGAAAGATACAATGAGAAATTCCCCATTTAGTATCATTATTCAGTATTTTTAGTCAAAATCAGTCTGTGAAATAGGTATAAACCCTTTATAACTGCATACATTTTAAATTCTCAGGACAGAAAAGCCAATACATAACATCGACCTTTCAACTTTGAAGATGTATTTCCCAAACAGCTCTTATATGAGCATACTAAGTAAAGCCATGCAAAACCTTTTTACCTTCATACTATAAAATGTGCCCAAATTATAGCTCTTGAAAGTACGGGTGGGTAGGTTGAAATTTAGTGGTTTTAATTTTTCTGTCATTTTTGAGCCCCCAAAACTTCTTAAGTATAGGAAATAGACAAATTCCATTTTTCTAAAATGGAAACAAATTTAAACTCTGTTAAAAAAATGTAACCAAATAAATTTTGGCCAGCTTTGCTACAATACTTGCTACAATTAGCTCAAATTTCAGTTCATTAAGTAAGACCAATAACTCGATTATAAAAAAAATTCTCACCTTCCAAGGAGACAAACTAAAAATGCCTTCTCATTTTATTTTACATTACTGTATTTAGTTGTATTTAACTATTTCAATCTTTTTGCATTTAAGAAAATGTTTTCTTTTAAATTTTTTATTCTAACATGTAAATACAATGAAAGGGTTTAGTAGGGGCCCAGCAACCCTGGCAAGGATATGCGGAAAAGAATGGATGGATGGGTTTAGTGGGGTTTTTTTGTATGTACTGATCATCAATGAGGTAAAATGTACTACTTACCCAGTTCCTTAATTAATACATAGTCGATAGCTGCAGCCCTAAATTAAGTTGAACATCTGTCATGTTGCTCTTAGCTGATTTTTTTACTGCACAACAAACTTCTTAAAGTATGTTTAAAAAGAAAAATGACACTCTCGGAGTGGTTCGTGTTAAATGTGCTAATTATTTTTTTTGTTGTGACAGTAAATGTCTGCTGTACCAAATTGCTTTGACAAAGATAAACGCTGTTGTGTATTGAAGACAATCATCCTCTTCAGGCGCTGATTGAAAAACAGATGTTTTTTTTTTCTACTTTGTAAATTAAAAGAGCAGTTGCTAGTGTCACCGTTGTTATTAGTCGCCAAATATGAGGTTGTTAATGTCTTATGTTTGCACACATGTTGAAAAATACTGACTTCTAGCCCCAGGTACTACATTTGTGAAGAAAAGTTCCTGCAGAGCTGCTGTGATTCTTCTGGGTGTGCTGTGTCTTCTTCTCCTCACTGGACTCATAATTCTGGCTTTTCCTTGTGAGTACAGCAGCTAGATAGCATGCTGATGATGTCCTAAATGGGTGTTCATTAATAGAGCTTGTTCATTTAATGTTCACATGCCCAACACAGTCAACCAAGACAAATCTGAGTGGGAAGAGGAGGTGAGCAGACAGAGAGCATTACAGATTAGTTACAACAACTTGAAAACAGAACGAGACCAGTTACAGAAAAACTACGACAGTGTGGTTCAAGACAGAGTCCAGCTCCAGAAAAAAGTTGAAGCCTTGACCAAAGAAAAAGATGATCTTCAGAAAAAGTTTCAAGGTAATTATTCCTCTGTCAGTGCGCCCCAGGGCAGCTGTGGCTACAATGTAGCTTGCCATCACCAGTGTGTGAATGTGTGTGTGAATGGGTGAATGACTGAATGTAGTGTGAAGCGCTTTGGGGTCCTTAGGGACTAGAAAAGCGCTATACAAATGCAGGCCATTTACCATTTTATTTCATTCAAAGAAAAGATGTTCTTGGGTCTAGCCTTTATTCTGATGATTCAATAATAAACCAATAGTTTATAAACTGCAACAAACGAAACGTGGTAGATTTAGCACAGACCCTGCCTACAAGACATCATAAATAAATATCATAGTTAAATGTGATTGCAAAATGTTTTAAATTCACATTTTTCAGTTTGTTTCTTTGTTTGTTTTTACTAATTTCTTGGCATCATAAGGAGCATGGCTGCACTGTTAGACAATAACAGTTGATACATGAAGTATTTCAGAGCTCTGAGATAAAAATTCCCAAAGGATTCATACAATAACTTAATGCCACTGGACTTAGAAAATAAACAATCTTTTGATGCTGTTCAGGTGAATTCCTGACTCAAACTGAACTCACTCAGTTTGCCTTCACTCTTTTTCAATTATGTACTTGAAGTTGCAAATAATAATAAAAAAAAGACAACCAAATACAGAGATGACTGTACCACCAACATTGTGGTTTACGCTTAGGGCTTCTTGTGTAAGAAATGAAAGCAGCATTAAGAGTCTTGCCACATTGATGACAGTGATAAGCAGCTTCCTTTCCATGCCTTTTTTTTAACCTACAGCTGCTGATGCAGATTACAGCGGAAATCACTTTATCACATTTTACACATCTTCACTAGAAGTCACCAAAGTTCAAATAGCTTTCCTATATAATCTTATATCTTTCTCATCTTCTCAGCCCTGAGAGTTACTATTAA